CACCCACCCACCGACCCACCGGGGAAGGCCTCCTTCGGAGTAAGGCCATGCACCAGGTGAAGGGGTTTTTTTTGTTAAGAATGCTGGTCTCCCATTGGCAAGGAGGGCAGAGTTCCGATCTCCACTTGGGGGGCCACAAAGCAGGTCCAGCCGCACAGTCAGGCTGAGTTGTTGGGGGGGGAGGAGGAAGTATTTCCTTGCATTGTGTCGTCGGAGGCTTTTACCGGCTGGAGTTCATTTCCCGGCCTGCAGGCTCTTGGCACTGCAGGACATCGCCGTTTGGCCAGCAAGCTGTGACTGGCACCCTCAGAGGCATAACACAGATAGATGGAGGACTCTCTGGGTCAAGGTGAAAAAATACTTGGAAGTATTTCAGCAAATTGCCTCAGTGCTGGAGCTCCTTGCACCTACTTATTTGTTTCTGACGCCTGTCCTGTCCTTTCTTTGACGGAGAACCACACTACTATGAGTGTGTGTGTGTGTGGGGGGGATTGCATCTTTAAAACCACACGATTCGTTGCTGATGGCTTTTGGAGATATAAATGATTTCAGAGCTAAACAATTTAATATAGATGACCAAGTGGGGGCCAGGACCAGGTTCGGCCCCATGCCACCCCCGCACCCACCCCCCAGAAATTGTGGAGTCTTCGCAGATTAACCCCGAAAGTGATGTTTGTCTGCATTTTTCTCCTTCATACTGAACTGCTGAAAACACTGATCATAGGAGAAAATTGTGACCAAATACTACTTTTTTTTGGGGGGGGGGAATTGAGTCCAGTGACACCTTCAAGGCCAACAAAGTTTAATTCTGGCGATAAGCTTTCTGTGTGCATGCACTCTTCCTCAGATACAGTGAAGCAGAACTTCCTTAAGCCTTAGGTAAAAAGGTAAAGGTTCCCTTGCTCGAAAGCCAGTCGAGTCCAACTCTAGGGTTGCAGAGCTCATCTCTGTTTCAAAGCCGAAGAGCCAGCGCTGTCCGAAGACGTTTCCGTGGTCATGTGGCCGGCCTGACTAAACACCAAGGTGCACGGAACGCTGTTACCTTCCCACCGAAGTGGTCCCTATTTATCTACTTGCAATTTCTTGCTTTCGAACTGCTAGGTTGGCAGGAGCTGGAACGAGAGAGGGGAGCTCCCTCCGTCATGCGGCACCCGGGTCTCGAACTGCGGAACTACCGACCTTCCACAGCCTGCAGTTCAGTGTCTTAACCACTTGAGCCACCGCAGCTCCTTACATATAGGTAAAACTGGAGGGGGGGGGGTTAAGTTGCCAGGAACGGCTACTTAGAGCCAAGATGGATCAGTAAGTGGTGATAAATATAGCCGAGATTGGATTGAAGCAGTTGGTAAGATCTAAGCAGTTAAAACTGACCATTTAAGACAACAGTGTTTTGTTCTGCTGTACCAGAACTTTTCTAAAGTTATAATTGCCCTGTCACCAAAAAGGGTATCATGGAGCTGAATGGGATGGAATATGAGAGAGGCTGAAAGAAATGTTTTTAATTCCATTCCATTCCCTTTCTCTCTCTCTTTCCCGTCAGCTGACTTAATGGTGACCCTGTAGAGTTCTCAAGGCGATAGACTCACAGAGGTGGTCTTCCATTGCCTGCCTTTGGATAACGATCCAAGATTTTTCCCATCCGAATACTGACTGGGGCCGACCCTGCTTAGCTTCCAACATCTGATGAGACGGGGCCAGCTTGGGTTGTCCAGGTCTGGGCCTTTCATACATTATGGAAATTTGCTTTGGGCCTTGTGGGTGGACAGAAGCAGCCTGGAAATGTATTAAGATGCATGTGATATGAAAGAAGAAGATAAGAGATTGGATTTAGACCCCACCCTTCGCTCGGAGTCTCAGAGCCACTTACAGACTCCCTTCCCTTCCCCTCCCCACAACAGACACCCTGTGAGGTCGGTGGGGCTGAGAGAGTTCTTTCAAGAGCTGCCTTTTCAAGGACAGCTCTTTTCAGAACTATGACTTGCCCAAGGTCATCCAGCAGCTGCAAGTGGAGGACTGGGGGAATCAAACCCGGTTCTCCCAGATTAGAGTCTGCACACTTAACCACGACACCAAACTGGCTCTTGTAGTGACAATTACCAGACGTTAATGGGAGAAGTGTCCAGTTACCCACCAGCAATGTGGTGGAGTGTACTGGTGTGGGCCCCTGATAGTGGCCTGAGCTCACAGGGTGCCAAAAAGTCCCTGCTTTGGGAAGGAGGTTCAGGGAGAACAAAAATCACCTGAGTTTTGGCCACTGTGTGCCACAGAGTGTTGGACTTGAGGGGCCACTGGCCTGATCCAACATGGCTCCTCTTCTGTTCTTACATAGCCACCGCCTTCTGTTTCTCTGCCTTCCCCTTTCCTCTGGGCCCCTCAGGCCGGTGTCGAAAGAGTTCTGAAGGATTGTGGTGGGATCCAGCTTGTCCAGTTTGTTTCATGGCTGAGCAGCATTCTGGGGCCACATTCAGATGCTGTGATAAAGTGTTATTTATAAGAGAAGGAGAAGAAGAGTTTGGATTTATACCCTGCCCTTCACTACCCAAAGGTATCTCAGAGCGGCTTTCAAACTCCTTTCCCTTCCCCTCCCCACAACAGACACCCTGTGAGGTAGGTGGGGCTGAGAAAGCTCTGACAGAAACTGCTCTTTTTCAAGAACAGCTCTTATCAGAACTATGGCTTGCCCAAGGTCATCCAGCCAGGTGCAAGTGGTTCTCCCAGATTAGAATCCGCACACTTAACCACTACACAAAAGTAGAGGATTCATTGAACGTGAATGTATGAAGTCCATTGATGGGCCTGTCAGGGACTACTCGGTCTCTCAGGATCTCTGTGTTTCCATACTTGGCTATTACAAGTTTGAGTGTTGTCCTTAAAACCTGTGACAGAAACCCTAAAGCCTTCCGAGGGCCAGTCAAGAGTGCCACCTAGAGCGTCTGGGGTCTTGGACCCCTTGGTGTTTTAGCAAATGCCTGAGGAGGTGGCACCATCATTTTGAATGTTTCTGATTGGTAACGGTAGCCTCTGACATCAGAATTGGGTCTTTGAGTGGGACTGGCGAAATCAGCTTGTCACTCTTACAGAAGAGGCTGGCTTAGATCAGATTCCTTTGGCCATCAATACCTGGACATTTGGGATTTTCCATTGACTTCGGTGGAAATCCACAGTGGGATCCACAGGAGGCTGGGTTTTCCTTAGATATAAGGCCTCTTCCAACATCTTGGTACAGCAAGGAACTCTGCGCATGCTCTGAGGAACCTGACATAGACTTGGCAACATGTACTTCTCTGAGTGAGCCCAACTGTATTGCTTTTCATTTGAAAATCCCTGTGCTGGGTGTTGTGTGCCTTTTCCCTGTATTTTGTTTTGCCCCCTTTCCAACACTTTTTGAATCCAGCCACCCCACTTCTCTCCTCCCCGGTCCAGGTCCGACACTCTCGGCCACTGCAGCGCACCCTGGTCCAGTCCTGAATTAGGAGAGATGAGGGGTCATCACTGCTGTTTGGGGGGTGTTGCTGATGATGTCCTAATTTTCTTCCAGGATCGAACATCTGAGTGCTGGACTAGGAGGAGGATTGTTTGCAGAAGGGAGCAGAGTGAGTGGCCTTTGGTGATCGACCGCTAGAAGGATCTGAAGGGATTTGTTTTGGGGGGCCCTGAAATTCAGCTGGGGACACGAAGTCATTTGAAGGCTCTTGTAGAGGGAAAACCCCAAAGTAGCCTTGGTTCTGGGGGCAAATGCTGGAAGTTGAGAGATTCTTGAGGCGTAAAAGAGCACAGAGGGACCAAGACTGTGGAAACAACTTCCGTCAGAGCCCTGACTTAAGTCGAGAACCTGCAAATGGAGGAAAAAACATACATTTGTTCTTACTGCGGGCAAGCCTTTCGAGGGACTTCGACCTTCATGGTGCATGAGAGGACTCATATAGGAGAGCAAGTATATAAGTGCTCGCAGTGTGGGAGAACGTATCCTTGTCTTTCTGACTTCCACATACACCTGAAGAGCCACGCGGGAGAGAAGCCCCATCGACGTCCCTCGGATGGTGTCGAAGGCTCCAGTCGGAATGCGCCCCTGCCCCAAGGACCCTCTGTGGCGGAGAAGGTAAGCCAATGCCGTGAGTGTGGGGAAGGAGAGCCCTGCTGGATCAGACCAGTGAGGGTCCATCGCGTCCAGCCTCCGGTCTCACACAGCGGCCAACCAGTTCCTCTGGAGGGCCGACAACGGGGGCACAGAGGCCGAGGCCTTCCCCTGAGGCTGCCTCCTGGCCCTGGGATTCAGAGACTTAGTGCCTCTCCTTCCAGAAGGGCTTTGGGTGGAGCTGTGTTCTGGGAATTCAATTCCGAGGCATTCTTGGGCCCAGTTCGGGTTGTGAGTGGCGCAAGAGGAGATGGGGATTCGGCCTCTCCTGCGGCCACACACACGCCATTTTCTTCACCTGAAGAAGCCCTGGTGGAGCTGCTGTTTGTGCCACTGGAGGAACTTCAGTGCAGCCCTCCTCTGTACGGGCAGATAACCCCAGCGGGGCAAACAGCGGCTCCTCAGAGCTGCTTCGGGTTAGGAAAACGGCACGGGGGGTGGTGGTGGGGCTGATTCCCCTTCTCACGCGCCCCGGTCCCAGTCTGAATTGAGCCTGCGGCTGCCTGGGGATTCCACCCACATCCATGTTTGGTCTGCCAGAAAGCAAAATCGAGACAAAATGCCTGTTCACAGAGTGACCACGACTGGCCCTCATATGACATGTGACCATGATGAACCAGTCAGGAGGTGCCACACGCCCTGTGCCTCCCCGGATGTGCAGGAAGGGAGGGGAGAGGGACTTCACCCTTCCTTCCTGCACAGTGACAACTCGGCAGTCCTTTGCAAAGTGGGAAGGTGAACCGGTGGCTGCCCTCTCTACGTGGCCCCAATCCACACCAGGTCCAGCACAGCCACAAGTTGTCTTGGAAAGACTGGCTGAGTCCTGTGACCATCCGCCTCTCCTGCTAACTGGATCCTCTGTTCATTTCCCTAGTAAAGCCTACCGCTGGATCTGGCCATTTTGTGCTATCTAGGGTGAGAGAAATTCACAAATACCTCCACACCCCCAGTGTCCACCGTTCCATGCCCAGAAGATGGCAAAAAACCTCCAGGATCCCTGGCCTGGAGAAAAACTGTTTCCTGACCCCAAAGTGGCAATCGACATTTCCCTGGGCGTGTAAGAAAGGGCCACAAGAACTAAGCACTGAGGTGACCCTTCCTGCCCTCTCTCTCGTGATCTGCCTAAGCTCACAGAATCAGCATGGCTGTCAGAGGGCCATCTGGCCTCTGTTTGAAAATCTCCAAAGAAGGAGAGCCCACCACCTCCTGAGGAAGCCTGCTCCCCTGAGGATTTTACCGCTCTAACCATAGGAAATTCTGCCTAATGTTTAGCCAAAAACTCTTCTGATTTAATTTCAACCTGTTTTCTGGTCCAACCTTCTGGGGCCACAGAAAATACCGTGCGCGGGTCCCCTCCCTGGGCCTGGGCAGCTGGGCTTGAGGGGTCGGAGGCTGCGCGCAAGCCACTGCACCCCCTGCTTCTTCCTCGGAGCCGGAGGGAGGGAGGGAGGGAGGCGCTCGGCCGGGCCTGAGGCCGGTGGCAGTATTTGGGCACTGGTCCCCTCCCCTCCCTGGTCATGGGCAGCTGGGCTTGAGGGGGGGAGGCTGCACACAAGCCACTGCCCCCCCTGCTTCTTCCCCAGAGCCGGAGGGAGGAAGGGAGGTGCTAGGAAGGGAGGTGCTCGGCCGGGCCCAAGGGCAGTGGCAGTGTTTGTACACGAGTCCCCTCCCCTCCCTGGGCAGCTGGGCTTGAGGGGGGGAGGCTGCGCGCAAGCCACTGCAACCCCTGCTTCTTCCCCAAAGCCGGAGGGAGGGAGGGAGGTGCTCGGCTGGGCCTGAGGGTGGTGGCAGTGTTCGGGCACGGGTCCCTTCCCCTCCCTGGACAGCTGGGCTTGAGGGGGGGAGGCTGCGCGCAAGCCACTGCGCCCCCTGATTCTTCCCCAGAGGGAGGGAGGGTGGTGCTCGGCTGGGCCTGAGGGCGGTGGCAGTGTTCGGGCACGGGTCCCTTCCCCTTCCTGGGCCTGGGCAGCTGGGCTTGAGGGGGGGAGGCTGCGTGCAAGCCACTGCAACCCCTGCTTCTTTCCCAAAGCTGGAGGGAGAAGCCACTGCGCCCCCTGCTTCTTCCCCGGAGCCGGAGGGAGGGAGGCGCTCGGCCGGGCCCGCGGGCGGTGGCAGTGTTTGGGCACGGGTCCCCTCCCCTCCGTGGGCCTGGGCAGCTGGGCTTGAGGGGGGGGGAGGCTGCGCACAAGCCACTGCCCCCCCTGCTATTGAATTGGCTCACTGCAGGCGTCCTCCGCAACCTGTGCTGCTCTTCGTCCCAGGCGCAAGTTGGCTTGAGCATTTCCGGTTCACTGGGGGCACTGAGGGCGGCGGTGGTGTTCGGGCGCGGGTCCCCTCCCCTCCCAGGACTTGGGTAGCTGGGTTTGAGGGGGGAGGCTGCGCGCAAGCAACTGCGCCCCCGCCTGCCGGGGAGTCGAAGGCGGCGGCGCAGGGGGCGCGCTTGGTGGCGGTGGTCGTGTGGGGCGGGGGGGGGGGGCTCAGCAACCCCGGGGAGGAGCTTCTGGACACGCCCAGCGCTCCGATCCCCCAACAGGGCAGGGAGCGCTAGGACCCAGCGAGTCCTTCCGGAGGCGGAGCAGAGGCAGGCAGGCAGGCAAGGGAGGGGGCGAGGACTGGCGGGTGAGCTCAGTGCTCTCCAGGTTAGAAGATGGGTGGCTTTCTCCGGAGAGCCAGGGCAGCGTTGCCAATGCAGCGGCCGCCCCTGCCTCTCCTCCCGCGCCCTAAAGGCTGGCTCGCGCTCTAGGCGAATGCCTAGTTCGCCTAGTGGGCAAGCCGGCCCTGCTTCTGGGGCAACAGAAAACAACTCCATACCATCCTGTAGATGACAGCCTTTCAATTACTTAAAGATGGTTATCATATCACCTCTCAATCGTCTCCTCTCCAGGCTAAACAGATCCAGCTTCTTCAACCTTTCCTCATAGGACTTGGTCTCCAGACCCCTCACCATCTTGGTGGCCCTTTTTGCACATACTAATACCAAGATAAGTTTCCCTCATCCTATAATTATGCATTTGGTTTTTCCTACCTAAAAGCAGAAGTTTACATTAATCCCCATTGAAATTCATTTTATTTGTTTTAGTCCAGTTTTCCAGCCTGTCAAAAATCATCCTGTATCCTGACTCTGTCTTGTACCATATTTGCTACCCCTCCCAATTTAGTATCATCTGCAATTGTAATAAGAATTCCCTTTAGCCCTTCATCCCAGATCCCAGGACAGATCCTTGAGGCACTCCCCTTGTCCCTCCTCTCCAAGAAGATGAGGAACCATTCACAAGCACTCTTTCGGTGCGATCTGTCAACCAGTTAGAGATCCACCTAACAGGCTCCAAACCACATCTTTCCAATTTGTTAACGTTAGATCCTCCTGAGGTCCCTCCCCACCCCAAACCCTGCCCTCCCCAGGCACTACCCCTCAAATCTACAGGTGTTTCCCAACCCAGAGTTGGCAAACTTTTACCTGGCTACGGAACCACTTTTTAGACCCTTGGAACCCAGAAAACATGGTATAGGAGGAGATGCTTTTCTACCTTAGCTGCCACTGCGTAGCCCCAAATCAACATAAGTCAGGGGTGGAGAGAACCATACCTGTTACCTTGTGGCTCTCCTCCCATACTACCCACTTGGGGCAGCAAAAAGACTTGAGACAGCCCTGCTTTCTAGCTAAGCAGAGGGAAATAAACATGGCTGGCCTCCCTCTGTTTTCCCCTTCCCTCCGCTGCCCCACCCACCACAGCCGGGACATTCACCTGTAGCCTCTTTCCGGAGCACATTGTATTTCTTCCCACAACGAGCCTTACTCCTAGTTACAATATAAGCTTCTTAAGGATAGAAAACACTTTAGCACTTACAGGTCTTTTAGGATTAAAACATAACATTTCCATATTCAGTGTAGAATACTTCAACACAAACATACTGCACTGGTATGAAATATGGAGCGTCCCGGTCTAGTCAACAAGAGCTCACAGAGAGCTGATTGAAGACTAGCCCAGAGCAAAGAAGTCTTCAATAACTTAGACTCTCAGTACCCAAAGTGAAGCCCACATGGATGATGTAAATTTAACTTTTACCAGAATAACATCAAAACAAAGAGTACAGTTTTCACCTGGAACTCATACCCTAGTTAGACAGTCAAGGATATTATGTCTGAACTTTATTGTGACCTTATTGGAAGCACAGCCACCTGCTTCAGAAAGTATGTTCCAGGTCAAAAGCTACAAACCTTCTCACTTGGAGTCTTCGACACAGTATGAGGGTGACATGGTAGACCTAGAGAAATGAAAACTATTCTTTTTGGAGCAGAGTGCCTTGTCAGGCTAGAGAGAGGCTTGAGAGGTGACAGAGGTGCAAAGCCTTATGGGAGAGGAACCAAACAGAGAGGCCTCAGCTAATCCAGGCTGTTATACAGAAATGCCCCAGGCTTGCTTATTTTTATTTTTTTTGCAACAATGAGATGAGCAGGGGGGACAGCCCGGGTCCCTCTTCCTTTCTCAGGAGAGCACTTGCTCCTCTAGTTTCTACAAGGTGTCGGGGTGAGAGATCCTCTGAATGCTGTTCCCTTTACCCAGCACAGGCCAGACATCCTGTACCTTCCCAGACTACTCCCTTCCAGGGTGCCATCTCTGCCTGGCGTGTTGTCTGAGGAGGGAATCTGCTTTTCCTTTCAGGGCCCCTTTTCCTTTGAGGAGGTGTCCATCGATTTCACTGAGGCGGAATGGGCCCTGTTGGATCCGGGACAAAGAGCTCTGTACAGGGAAGTCATGCTGGAGAACTACGAGAATGTGGCCTTTCTGGGTAAGGATCTTTCCTTGGTGCCAAGGGTGCAAATTGCGGCCATTGTGAGGAGGCATGAATCAAAATATTGAACAGCTGTTCACCGTTTTGAGGCCTGTCCTGGTTCTTGGGGGTGGGGGGGAGCTGTGTCTCCCTGGCAGAGCATCTGCTTGGCATGTAGAAGGTCCCAGGTTCAATCCCCAGCATTTCCAGTAAAAAGGATCAGGTAAGAGGTGATGTGAAAGACTTCTGCCTGAGACCCCGGATAGCCCCTGCTGGACTGAGTAGGCAACACTGACTTCAGTGGACCAAGGGTCAAATTAAGTAGGAGGCAGGTTGATGTGTGTGTTCTTGCCCAGGGGCAACAGAGGTCAGTGTTGTGGCCATCACCCAGGCCAGAAAAGGTGTCCTGGCCTGAGGCAAAGGTCGGGATGGGAGGCCCTTAGAAAGACTCTGGAAGGGCCCAGATCTTCATTTCTGTGTTTCTAACCTTTAGAAGACTCCCTTTTCTCTGAATGAGATCACAGACATCTGCTCTGCCTGTGATCTGGAAACAATCCTGTCAAGAACCGAAGCCTAAGAACATAAGAGATGCCAATGTTGGATCAGGCCAAAGGCCCATCCAGTCCAATACTCTTTCAAACAGTGGCCAAAAATACAAGGTGCCATCATTTGGTCCACCAGTGGGGCCAGGAAACTAGAAGCCTTCCCACTGTTGCCCCCTCCCCCAGGCACCAAGAAGACAGAGCATCACTTGCCCCAGAGTCCCTATCTATACCTTGTAGCTAATAGCCACTGATGGACCTCTGCTCCATATCTATATATCTAATAGTGAAGTGGCCCCCTCTGTGCGGATATCTAAATCCGCACTTCGGGGGCACTTGGGGGGCAGTGAGAGGTTTGTGCACACGTGGGGCGGTCCCCACATGTGCACAAAAATCCTAAATGTTGGAAAAAAATTGGGGGGATGTTTAAATCCCCCCGAAACTCACAGAGCGTCCCCTGCGCAGGGGGGGGGGGGAGAAGAGAAAAAGCTCGCTTTGGAACCGGGGGGGTGGGGAGAGCAGTGAGGGGCGAGGAGGGTGGCTGCTGGGACAGGCGAAGCTGGGGCGCCCCGAAGCTGCGCACTGCCGGGGAGCCGGGCTCGCGGCCAGAGGGCGCCCCAGCGGCAACGGAAGCAGCAGGAGGTGGGCCGCTCGCTAAAGGGAAGGGGACCGGGGTGGGTTTGCTCACCAGTACGCAGAGTGAAGAGAGATGCATCTTCCTCCTCCTTGCTCGCCATCCCTCCCCCTGGACGCCAGCCCAGCAGGCGGCGGCTTGACTCCCCGCAGCGCCGCGCCCTCCTCCTCCTCCTGTAGCCCCGGCAGCGGCGGCGGCGCTGTGAACTCCGACTACGGTGTGGCTCCGGAGGGGGAGGGGGTCGCGCCCCTCCCGGGCGGGTGAGGAAAGGGAGGGAGGGAGGGAGAGGCACCCTGCCGCCGCCGCCTTCAGCTCCCAGCGCTCTCCTTCCCAGGTTTTTGAATTTGGCACCCGACAGCCTCATTGGGTGTCACATGGGCCCGCCGGGACCAATGGGGGCCGGGCATAGGAGCTGAACGTTCCCCGGGCCAATTGGAGGCGGCGAGGGTGGGGCGCTCGGATCCAAGAGCCCAGAGAGCGCGGCGGCCTCCGGTGGCGCCGAGGACCCGACGTGTGTCTGGGGGCTGATTCCTTCCTTCCCTCCCACGCGCGAGGACAGGTCTGTGCGACCGGCCGAGCAAGGGTGGGAGATCGAGCGGGGTGTGTGTGTGGAGGAGACAGGGCAGGAACCGGCGGGATGGGGGGGAACTTACCCCCTCCTGCTGCTTCCTCCTCTGCCTCCCCCCCTGCGAGTATCGTGGGTCCACCCCTTGTGCTTATCTAATTCCCTTTTGAAGCCGTCCATGCTTGTAGCCGCCGCCACCACCTTTGGCAGTGAATTCCAAGTGTTAATCACTCTTTGGGTGAAGAAGGACTTCCTTTTATTCGTGCTAACCCAACTGCTCAGCAATTTCATGGAGTGCCCACAAGTTCTTGTATTGTGAGAAAGGGAGAAAAGTACCTCTTTCTCTACCTGCTCTATCCCATGCTTAACCTTATAAACCTCAATCATGTCACCCCTCAGCCATAATTTCTCCAAGCTAAAGAGCCCCAAGCGCCTTAACCTTTCCTCATAGGGAAAGTGTTCCCAGGGCCGGCCCAAGGTGTTTCTGCGCCCTAGGCGAGGCTAGCTTGTGGCAACCACACCCCCTCAGCGCAGATGCCAACCTCCCGGTGGGGCCTTGAGACCTCCCAGAAACACGCCCTGGAGGGGGGGGCGATGGGCGCCACAAGCTAGTCACGCCCCGCCCGCTTCCTTTGACAAACATGCCCCCCTCCTCCTCCATTCACACCACCCAACAAAGCACGGGCATGCACACAGGAGGGGCCGCCAAGGGTGGGGCTGCGGCGGGCCAGGAGGGTCCCCCCCTTCCCTCTGCCCTGTGGCGCTGTCACCCCCACGCCCCTCCTCCCCCTCCTGCAGTGATACCACCTTGCAGGGTAGTCGTGCACCGCGCAGTACCCGAGTCCAGCACCATCGTGGACAGGCTTATCGGCTCCCTGGCACCTTCAGCCTCCTGCGGCAGCTGCTCCTCCGTCTTCCTGCTGCTCACCCGCCCCCCCCCCCCCCATTGCCAGCGGCTGGGTGGATCCTACCGGGGGGATCTGGTTTCACGGAGGGGTCACGTGCCTTGGTCCGGCAGGGGACGAGGGAGCCATTGCTGGGAATCGGCGGGCGGCAGGGCAGGGCGCATGGCTTCTTCCGGCGAAAGCCTGCCTGGGACAATTTGTGTGTGCCGCGGTGCTGGGCTGGGGAAGATCCCTGGCCCGGGGAGCGGAGGGGGAGAGTTGTGCAACGGCGGCCGCTGCTGCAGTCTGGCAGGCTGCTCGGCTCGGCTGGGATCAAGTGAGCCTTTGTATTGATCTGGAGCCGAGAGCGGCAGTGAATTAAAGTGAGTTCCATTGGAAAACCCCGAAGCAAAAAGGTGGGAAGTCGCCAGGGCCGGCCTGAGGTTCTCCTGCGCTCTAGGCGAGCGCAGATGCCAACTTCCCGGCAGGAGACTGGCGCACTTTTGCTTTCCGCCTTGCTGCCCACCCCTGAGAGGCGCACAGGAAGGGGGAAGCACGCCAGTCTTGGGTCCTTCGCCAGGCAGGCAGGTGTGGGCCCGGAAGCGCAGGAGGCCGCGCGGGGCTGGTTCTGGTGGCGAGCGAGGGCCCGGGGGGTGGAGGCGTGGCCTCCCTCCGGGCAGCGCAGGAGGAGCAGCAAGAGCGGCGCAGCCAGGAGCATCTCCCACGCAGCGCAGAACCCCTCGCCCGTCCACAACACAGGACCCCTCGCCGCCGAAGGGGCGCACGAGCTGACCTTGGCTGCCGCCTCCCTGCGCGGTTCCTCCTCCTCCTCCGGGGGCAGCGCGCGGGTCTCAGGCGGCCCCAACCCAGGCCAAAAGCAAGCAAGCAGACAGGCCGCCC